TAGCCGTGCGTATATCACTGGGACACTACGCCACGCTGTGCCTTAAAAGCAATAGACGGTCTAATTTGCTTGCGAGAGGAGCATACGATTTGATTACAATATGTTATCAATACATCAGACCACGGGGCTCCGCTTTATTTTTAAACATTTATGGGGACGAGCGCAACAGTTGCCCGCTACTGAGGAAATAGGCTACGGGCCATGTGGCATTCTCAACGTCCTTGTGATTTAGAAAAGTCAGTGTAAACATGATGGAGCCGTTGTAAAAATATACAGTATGTCATAAAGTCCGGGGAGAAGCAGAAGAAAAAAAACTGGCGAGGGGTGGAATAAAAATTGCATAGTGTTCTACAACATGGACAGATGATATATCCTTCCCTTAAGTACAATCTTTGCATTCTGTTGATTATTATTTTTATTATTATTATTTTATTTTTATTGTTATTATTATCATTACATTACAATCACAATACAATTCAAGACAAGATGGTAAGGAGGGCCCTGATAACAGTCATGTCAGGGACAAGGTCGGGTGAGGGTTAAGGGCCCATTCACACCACTTCCAGATCATCTCCAGACCAGACCAGATTGTTTCTGGACCCAAAATGCATCCCTATGGTCAGGGCTTGAAAAATTTTAGGGTGTCTAACAGGGGGCGTAACTAGAAATCACAGGGCCCAAAAGACTCTCTATAGTGGGCTCTGCAGGGTATCAGATGGGCTGCACACCTTTTACCTGTCAGCACTGTCTGCCTCCATGATCGCCGGGCCCGGCCTCCTTTTCCGTCCCCGGGCCCCGCCTCCTCTTCTATCGACGGGCCCCGCCTGCTCTTAGGTCGCTGACCAGTGATGTAAGAGGAGCCGGGGTTGCCCTTAGGCGGGCCCTGCCTCCTCCTTCACTGCGAACGCCGGCCTCTTCTGCCGCAGCTGCTGGCTGTCACTCACACAGCTCTGCAGCGGCTGTGAGTGGGAAAGCGCCATGGACACTGCTGCATCCATGGCCGGAACTGTGTCAGTGGCAGCCAGCACCCTTACATGCCATAGCAACCCAGGCGGCCCACACGGCATCAGAGGGATGAGCTGGCCGGGCCCCCGACTGCGTGGGTCGCTATGGCGATTGTTACACCACGGGTGTCTCACCAGTCAGTCAAAAATATCACCAGTCAGCATAACTGGACTATAGCCTTGCAATTTATGTGAACATTTTTTGGGGGACACATAGAGCTTTCTTTTGGAGGTATATAATCACCACGGGGGTGGGGGGGTGTTATTTTTTACTATAAAATGGAAAAGGTACCGTAAATGTAAAATAAAAAGTCTCCCTACTTTATGTTATAAAACATTTATTCTTACCCATATTTTTGGTAAAATATACCAGACGGGTTCACATCGGGTAAATAGACACCAAACATGTCAAGCCTTAAAATTGCGTGCGCCTGCAAAATCGCAAAAAAAGACCACACTGAAAATTGGCCAAAGGCGAGGCTTAAAACGCTTTTATTGCTCATCAGTTTAGTGCTTTATCAGTAATTAACAGCCCTAAAATGATTGCTCTCACCCTGAAGTTTGCGGCGATATGTAACATGTGTGGCACAATAGGCGCAATCCTCGTTTTCGCACACAGACGCACCCGACGCATATCTGCGTGTGTATGGAGGGGGGGCGGGGGACTTAAAAAAAATGTTGTGTTTTTTTCTATGCTTCTTTAATTTTGTTATTACTTTTTTTTTTTTACACAACTGTATTGCTATCACATAGGGGGATAGGAAGTCCCCTATGTGATAGCCAATTTACATGACAGGTCCTCTTTATGGAGACATCATGGGTCTCCACGACCCCTAATGTCACCTAGGGACCCCCAGAGAAGCTGATGAAGCAGAGATCTGCTTCACCAACTTCTCCCCAGCATCTGTAGCTGGAGAGTGACAGCAGAATGCGGAAGTGATGTAATATACATCACTTCCTGCATTCGGGGACTGGGGAGGAGATCAGAGGGAGATTGTGTACCAATCTCCCTTTGATCTCCTGTCACAGAGCAGCCGTGACGGTCAGCGGATCTCGGGACCGGCAACGGCAGTGACAGGTACTGCTAATACAAGAGATCGGGCGTCTCTAGAGACGCCCGATCGCTTGAATGTAGAGCTCCCGGCCGGCCGTGCAATTACAACGGCCGGCGGGGAGGCTACTCATCGGGCTCCACCGTCCCAGTCGTCACAGACAAGTGGACCAGTGGATTTTTCAAGCCCTGCCTATGATATTTCTGGCCTCTGTTCACACAAGCACAGTCCATTCCAGACCAGGCCAGAGAAATACTGCATGTCTCATTTTGTCTGGTCTGGAATTCACAGGAACTGTGGACAGGTTCACACCATTTTTCGGAGCAGATCAATTCTGGAAAATGGTGTGAACCTGCCCTAAAGATGAATTTTGGGCAGATGTAAAACATTTTATTCAAAGTGTTATTAAAGTTAAAACGTTTTTTAAGCTATTTCAAAAGCTGAAATGCTGCATCTCAGTGTGGAGGTGGCCATCATAGTAGAGGCAGGCCTTTGCTTTCTCATGTCAGAGCTGCCCCTTCAATGAATGATGATGAAATATCGAGAGAGACGGAAGAGGAAGCACAGATCTACAGAATGCATGAAGCAGAGGCAGGGAGATCCTTGCACTGCAGGTCCTCATGTGCTGCTTCCTTTCCAGCAAGGAGAACAGTGAGCAACTTAGTAGAACCCACTGAAAGGGTTAATTTTATTCATTCCTGGAGTTCCTTTTTAATAAATAAAACCCCAGCAACTTCATGCCTTTAACGGAATCCATTAACGAACTAGAGCTTGTTTACATATAATTGCCCAGACTCCTTCTTTAGCACGTCCGTGAAGAAAAAAGTCCGGGATGTCGCCGAGCTCTCAGGCGATGGCGCCTCTTCCTTCAGACTGTCAGCATATGCCGAGGAACGTCTTGCATTTTGCATTGTGTCACCCGGTGTCAGAAGTCCCCGGTAAGGTAATATAGGAGATGAATGAAAGTCTATCATCATTCTGCCAAGATGAAAAACTGACAGCTAGTAATGAAAAGAAAAATCGTTTCTATTTTGGGTCACTGTGAGTAAGAAAGAGAGCCGTATGAGCTCCAAAGCTGGAAAATTGGGCTTTTGACAGACATCGCGGCGAGGGAAAGTGCCGCGCGTATAATGCCATCCATTATACCGCATATAATGATTATTTTAGGGGCTGCATGGTTTTGAATAAATCCTTGGATGCCCCACAGGATTGGAAATAAAGGTGAAGACAGCATGGCATTATTAGAGGCATTATGAAAAAAATGACTTGCTCTATCTCATTCTACAGACTAAGGGTCATTGCAATCAGAAAAAAAAAGAAACACAATTTATTTGCTGTTAACCTTGGCATTGGGTGCCGGCTACCGAGGGATGTTCTTGTGGTAATGGTAATCACCGCGGAGTAGACGATGGACCATGCTAAGATTGAATAAAGATAACGGGCTGTCAGGTTCAGCGTTGCCTGGCATTAGCTGTGCGATACTGGCATCATTAAGGTGACACCATGATCTCCATGTTAAAAAGGATGTTTATCCCCTTCAGAGGCTGTTTTTTTTTAATCCTGTTTTTCTTTCTGTTTTGTTGCTTTATAAAAAAGGAACGGGTCACACTTTATTTCAATATCCCATTCATGAAACAAGCCATTAAAAAAAAATCAGTTACATTGACCATGTCCTATAATTAAAGTAGCACTAAAGCCTTACCTGAATTTTTACCTGAATTGCAGGTACTGTCTATTGACCAATGGAGCAGAGGACAATAAATGTCTGCTTAAAAATCTTTCGGCTAGCTTTGGCCGCCGGAGCCCTTCAGAGCCTCACAACTGACAACTGGGCGGAGCCAGCCGTGTTCTCACCGCTGGCTCCGCCCAGTTGCAATGACAGATCAGGGTCATTGCAAACCGCTGAACTGTCATTAAACAATGACAACTTGGCGCAGCCAGCCGTGACATCGCGGCCGGCTCCGCCCAGTTGTTATTCATTGGCTGGAACCTGCTAGGACCTGACACAAACGTTGTTTTTTGTGGACCTGACACAAAAAGCAATGTTTCCGAACCAAGCATGGTCCCTTCATCAGGCAAACACAGTAACAACAACAAGCAATTAGGGAAACAATTATATACAGTGGCAAACCATCAAATTAATGTGGAACCTTCCCCCTGATGTCATGATGATGTCATAATCCCGCCAATTGTTTTTCAAATAAATGACAGCTCAAAGAATAACCATGCTTGCTACGTCTAGTCCTCTCTGGTCATCTGTGCATGTTGGGTCAGGCAGTGTTATAACATCAGACTGTAGTCTGTCTACTGGCAGCGAGCACGAACGAGTGGCTCCATAGGACCCTGCAAGGGAATGTAGTAACCCATGAGCAGGAAAGCTGGGGCAGCAATCTTTTGGACTGGCTCAATTAAAAAAAACTGCAAGCTTTTAACGTAGAAGAAACATAGGACAAAAGAAGTGCTGAGATCAGCTTCTGTGGTTGCAATATAAATGTCAGGGTTCCTTCCCCTGGGACTTCATGTCCAATAAGCGTCATCATTTGTACTATTGAAATTTTTGGCATTTTTGATGTGACAATATGTGTGAAAAAACAACACTTTATTTTGGACATCATCCATTGGTGTGCTGGTGACATTTCTGATGTACACTATTGATATAGTCACTCGCACTCCAAGGACAAAGATGCTGGATGTCATTTATTCAGATGCTAGGCAATCATAGTGACACAGTGGAAAAAAGCAACGTTTCGGAACCGAGCATGGCCCTTCATCAGGCAATCACAGTGACAACAACAAGCCATTAGTGAAACAGTTATATACAGTGGCAAACCACCAAATGATCGTGGCACCTCCCCCCTGACATCATGATGATGCCATAATCCCGCCAATTGTTTTTCAAAGAAATGACGGTTTAACGATTAATCACGCATGCCACGTCCAGTCCTGTCTGTGAAGGTTCTCGTTCATCCAGGTCATGGTATATCTGTAAAAAAATAAGTCAAGGCAACTGGACTTGCTGTAGTTATTCTTGAAGACATTCCACTGGTCACCCAACCAGCTTTCTTAATTCAGAATGACTAGTACAAATATGGTGAATAAATATGGTGAATGTCGCTCCAATCCACAGCAACTGTTAATTGCAACCAGGTGTTGATTGCATTTGCATAATTGGAGCTAGGAGGTGTTATTAACCTACCCAGAGTGCTCAGAGTTGTATGTCGGTGAAACAAAACAGCAGCTACACCAGCGTATGGCACAGCATAGAAGAGCCAAACCCTCTGGTCAGGATTCAGCAGTATACCTACATCTAAAGGGAAAAGGTCACTTCTTTGAAGATAGTCAAGTATGCATCCTAGATAGGGAGGAGAAACTGGTTTAAAAGAGGTGTGAAAGAGGCCATTTATGTAAAAATGGAGAAGCCAAGCTTGAATGAAGCATGACATCTATTATGCTGTTTTAACACCTCTCCCTGGGCAGGTTAATAAAACCTCCTACACTCTGATCATGCAAATGCAATCAACAACTGGTTGCAATTAACAGTTGCTGTGGATTGGAACAAGATTCACCATATTTATTCCCAGATAATTTTTGTATAAGTCAACTTGATAAAATATCACTTTGAGGTAGATTTTTCTATCCAGCGGTAATAGGTCAGAATTTTAGTGGTGGAGGTAGCAGACACAACAGATCTAAAAGCTATGAGAAAGTTTACACTTAAAAAGTTAAACCCCTCAACATCATACAAATTGCAAAATAGTGCCAATACAATTTTTAATGGCACAGCCTGTGATCATTTTTTTTTGCAGTACCACACTGTATTGTTTATAACGTTTAATAAAATGTCAACAGCGTGTACACAAAAACACTTTAAAGCAACAACCCCACATTCCAGAGACGAGGCAATAAAAATTACAGTTCTATTTTTCAGAGACAATCTCCAGGCACAGCACGGTGGCTGGAGTGTATGTAAGCAGCTTGATTGGGCTGCAATGTAAGCGGGAGAGACAAGGCAGTTTTATCCAAAAATTTAAAATAAGACTACATTATTTCAAAGACAGCAGCCAGAAATATTGTACAGATTCAGTGAACATTATGTAAGCAGTTTTACTAAACTGCAGTGTAGGAGGGATAGACGAGGCAGGTTTAATCATGAAATTAAAATTACAGTGTATAACGTCAGAGACAACAGCCAGAAAAATTGTGCAGACTCACTCCACATCGTGTAAACAGTTTTACAAGGCCACAATTAAAAATGATGAAAGATGAGGAAGATTTTATTGTAAAATGCAATTTAGAATGTATTGTTTTTGAGACAAAGGCCTTGTCTTATTTCTTGTAAGCCTCATTGACTAAACCATTTCCCTTATTTAGCACTTGAGGAAAAAAACTATAACGTTTATATTTTTTTAAGATGAAATAGTAATATGCTACACACAACATACATAGTATTACTAATGTTTCTTGTAAGCTTCTTTGGCTATACCACATCCTTCATTTACTTTGGAGGGCAAAAAAATAAATAAATAAAAGGAAGGAATATGGTAGACATTGCATAGACATAATTTTGGAAACAAAAAGGGAGGCCGCATGTGCTAAAATACATACTACATGCAGCTTTTAAAGGCAAAAAACTAAATAAAATGTATTTTTCACTGTTGATACAATGTGAGGACTTATCTCCTACCTCCAGCAGGGTCTCGTGCTGTCGGGTGGCCTCCTTGTGCAGCACTGAGCCCAACGGCTGCTGTGTGTGGTGTCCGCTTGTTCCATCATCCAGAGTTGTACAGGAAGAGGCACGCACAAGCACTGAACCGCCTCTTAAAAGGACAGTGCATGCCCCTCCAAGGAAGTGGTCCGCCCCTGGAAATGACATAATCTCATTGCCAACAGGTATATAAGCAGGAAGGGTGAGTCATTCTGTGTTTGGTTATTGTTAAGCTTGTTCTCAGAGTGCCTGCATTATACCTGTTTCTGATTCCTGTTACCAACCCCTGTCCTGTTCCGTGACCCTGATACTTTGCTGCCTGCCCCGACCTCTGCTATGTTTAACAACTATGATTCCGGATTGTGATTTTGCTACCGTACTCTTGGACTGCCACTGTCCTGGCTAGCAGTACGCAGGAGATTGTGCATTATCCTAGTCTACATGAGTAGAGGTACCAACCGTACTGGCAATTCCCCTGCGTCTGGGCTACCACCAACCTGATATACAGTGGAATGTTGTACAGACTCCCGAGACAGTATTTCAACAATCTCTTGTAGGTCACAGTTTGAAAATGGCAAACCACATGCAGTTTTACAGCCTAAAAATCCACATGTAGGTGTACATATTTAGCAAACAAAATTGACAGCACTTAAGGACTTTTTGTAGGCTGCATTTGTCACAGGAGGGACAACAGTCAGCTTTCAAACAGAGCAATCTACTTTAGAGTGCAATTCACAGAACAAAAAGACAACTAGATATTGCACTGACTCCATACACACCAAACATTGTTACTTGGATGCATTTTGAATTGGGGAAACACTAATCAAAAAAGTCAACATATTATTTTACAAAAAAGTAAAAGCAACATATTTTACCACCTCCATGTCAGTATGTAAGCACATGTAACAGACTGAAGTTTAATGGGGAAATACCAGGCAGGCTTTCGTGAAGAAATCACAGTTAGAGTTTACTATTTTAGAGAACCAATATAATTTTGACAGATGGAGCAGTGGAATAGGCCAAACACTAGGAGACACAGTGCATGATCTACCCTGCAGCAAAGACTATACATTTTGCAGCTGAGAACCAGAGGCAGAAACATTATTTGTGGCACCATGACAGTGCCTGATCACAAGAATTCAGTTTAAAATTGAGGTGCAATGCAGGATTGACTCTGCAGAAAAAAAACTACCCAAATTGTAGCTGAGCATCAGCTGGCTGGCAGCTGGTAATGGTGGCAGGATCTTAAAATGGTTGCAGTAGATATTTATGGTGGCAGGCCAGCAGAAGCAGCAGAAGTTGGTAATGCTGCAAGGTATACTAACGTTTTTGCAGCCAACTGCCAAGAAAAATATATTCATTATTATTACCAGGACTAGTTAATTTTTAAAAAAAAAGTGAATCGGTCTGGGGACAGGCGGATGCAGAAATAATGCACACTGTGCTGAATGTCTTCTTTGACAGCACACTGGCAGCAGGGTAGGCCAGCAGCTTGAATACTGGTCAAGCTCTAGCCAGTGGTCCAGACTGGACAGCCAAAAGCCCAGAGGGTCCTCAGTGAGAAGGGTGTCCATATCCACCGTGGACCCAAGGTAATCTGAGATCATATGGTTTAGACACTGCCTGTAACTGTTGACAGGTATGTCCAATGCATTCTAAAGAATGACTTTAAAGCCTTGCTGAGGCAGCCACTACCATGCTGCCCTTCTTTCACTGACCAAAGGTACATTGGCCATAAAAAGGGATCGTAACACTCTTTGGAAAGCTGACCAAGAGTTCTCTCTGCAGCACCTCCTCCAAGTGACACATTTATTGCTCCCTCTAGGACTTCAGCACAGGCACTGCAGCATGCATAAGCCCATTCAGCAGTGAAACTTGCATCCCCTTTGTCGTTCAATCTCACTCTACAAGACCTGGGTTTGGGAGGGGTAAAACGTACTGTGGAAGTCTGCCCAAGTCCTCCTTCTGGTCCTCACTACCAACATGTCAAGATGTGGGTTATGACAAGTCATTTGATGAGACCATTAAGGAGAAGTGGCAGAGGTAACTGAGCTGTCGCCATCACTACTCTGCAAGACAGAAAGCACACCATTCTACATCCTTTCTGTCCCTCAGAAAAGTTACCCAGTACATAGTAAAAAAAAGAAATGTAAATACTCTGCTCAGGCTTGCATGGCCTTCTGGGCAAAAAAAATGGAGGCTGGGTACTTGCCACTGTGGAAAGGGGACAAACGTTTTCTTCCACTCCAGCCTTTCTTCCAAGCCCTAGTATAGGCTCATTCCTAAGCACTGGGACATTTTCCTCCTCAAGCAGCAGGTCTGGGGGATAAAGGGCCTCTTTACTCTTTGTACTGTTCCTAGGCAGCCTGGGATGCTTTGGCAGTGCATCTTTTTTTTATAGATATACCATGGCCTGGATGAATGAGAACCTTCACAGACATACAGGTGAAACTCGAATAATTAGAATATCGTGCAAAAGTAATTGCAGTAAGTGCTGCAAAAGGGGCCCAAACCAAGTACTGAGTACATATGCATGCTTGTACTTTTCAGAGGTCCGATATTATTCTATGTACAATCCTTGTTTTATTGATTGCATGTAATAATCTACTTTTTTGAGGTTGTGGATTTGGGGTTCTTGGGGTTTTCATGAGCTGTAAGCCATAATCATCACAATGATGACAAATCACGGCTTGAACTATCTTGCTTTGCATGTAATGAGACTCTCTCATATATTAGTTTCACCGCATAAGTTGCATTAGTGAAATAAATGAACTTTGCACGATATTCTAATTATTCAAGTTTCACCTGTATCTCTTACATTAACATCCTCTCCAAAGCCTGGGAGGCAAAATCTATTTTCTTCCCTAGACCACATAACTAATAAGTCTCTTACTTAGGGATGCATTGATACCAATACTAGTATCGGTAATGATGCCGACACTGAGTATTTGGGCGAGTACTCATACTCGCCCAAATGCTCTGATACCTCCAATACAGGAACTTCCAATCAGAGAGAGATCCCTCTCTGACTGGCAGTGCTGATTGGCTAGGAAGTCAGCTTCACTTGTTGGTAGGCAGCCTGGCTTCCTAACCGATCAGAAATCCGGGCGGCACATCATGACCTGCCTCCCGGCTTCCTGATTGGTCAGAAAGCCAGGCTGCCTAGCAACAAGTGAAGCCAGCTTCCTAGCCAATGAGGTATCCGGGAGGTGGGTCATGATGTGCCACCCAGCTTCCTGATTGGTCAGGAAGCGAGGCTGCTTAGCCAATCAGGAAGCCGGACGACACCTCATGACCCTCCGCCTGGCTTCCTGATTGGTCAGGAAGCCAGGTAGCCTCGGCAAGTGAAGCTGGTGTTTTTTGCTAGAACACTGAATTCCCAGGGAATCAGGAAGCTGGGCGGTGCGTCATGATGCACGGCCCGGCTTACTGATAATCGGGGCACACAGCACCGGTATTGGTACTTGGTATCAGCGAGTAGCAAAAAAAAAAATATCGGAAAATCGGTATCGGTGCATCCCTACTCTTAGTGATTGGCCGGGGAAAACTCCCCATCAAGAAGCAGAAGTAAACAATACCATGGTGCAGAGGAGTTGGAGAGAAGTAACCTTCTCCCGCACTATCCAAAACTAATAAAAAACGTTTTAAAGCTTGGGAGTTACATTATGATCAAGTGTTCATAGGTGACTAACTTTTTTGGGGGTTTGAGGCATTTCTTTTTTCAGTGCAATGAATTTTTCTGGACGAGAGGGATGCAATAAATGATAATTATGCTGAAAATGTTTGGAGCTAAACTCCCGCACAAAGCAACCATGCCAATTATAACAAGCTAAAAACTCATATAAAGCCCTTTGCAAGCATATTCAGCTGTGCCTATCCTTGACCCAGAGAGGATCTACTCCAACCTGGTTCCAGGGGGATGAACCTAGGAGCTTACAGTTACTTAGTATGAGCATTGAGAACTAACGTCTAAGCCGCCAGCCTATGAGGAGTTGCCGTGTCTGTTTCCCTAGTGGAACCTCCCTAACAGGAACCCGTAACTCAGTTGTTACTAACTCCGTGATAATTACATTCTTAGCTGGAGAAATAAACATGATTTCATACCAAATAAAACAATAAGACAAAATATTCCACACTATGCATATTCATGCAGCAGCTTCTTCTGTTGTCCTAATTTCCCGCGACTAATTTCATCGATCGCCCGCACTTTTGCCAATATGCATGCAGATCACGACGGCGATAATAACGCTCAGAGTAATTATAATTTATACAGAACGCTGTTATTACCCACGAATGAACATCAATGGCAAAAAAAAAATAATATATATCAAATGAAAGACAATGGCAGTGGCTGTATTTTTGGAACTCACAGGTTTAAAAAAAGAGGAAAAAAAAAAGATAATAACTTTTTCAGACTAAAATAATTGCCTAGTGCACTCATCCACAAAAACTATATGTTCGAGAGATTAAGAGTAATTTCGCCAAATATTTAGATACAATCGTAATGCTTGATAAGCCAAGTGGATACGTGGAATGGATCTGTGACATCAAAAGAGATTGTACTAAACTAAAATTCATGAAGTGTGGCAAGTTAATATCGGAGCAGTTCCGCTAGAAGGGCATTTTGCATTGTTATAGGCCTAAACTCATTACACAATACTTACCGAATGCCCTTTTGAACATTACACTATAATAGTTTCTTATATTAATAAGCAATAAGTAAATGAAGCACTAAAGAATTACAATGGTGCCGGCTATAAAGATCCAGCCGACTGACGGACTGAAATTCCTAATGAACTTCACCGGCTCCATTTAAAATTTAGTTTGGATTACATTGCGGCTCAATACTTTTTTTTTTTTTGCCATGACAGGGCGTCAAATGTCTTTCTTTTTTTCACTTAAAGTAATATTAGACCCTTCACAATTAATATTAAATTCTCTTTAAGTATACACTTTACGTTGCAAAATCCCATTTTTTTTTCTATCAAAACTGTTTCTAAATGGATTTTTGTACCTTTTTGTGCTGTGCCTACCGCTGCCACTTGCTTCTGGTCGAGGAGCATGCATAAAAGGAGCACCTGACCTCACAGCTACATGCCCCATGATTCTTTGCATGCTGCATTTTCAGAGACATTTCTGTGTGTGCGCACAGTGGGGGCAATTCAGTAAAGCATTTGCGACCAAATTCTAGCAGCATGAACCCTTTAAAAAATCCTGCGTCTAATTCATGAAAGCCTTTAGACAGTTTTCTTAAGGGCTCATTCACACTGTAATCGGCCGGCACGTACAGCTCCGTGCAGGGCCGTATCGGGCAGCTCCCGGGAAGGACAGGTGCTGCGTGTGATTAGTACGCAGCCCCCGTCCTTCTCTATGGGACTACGCGGCCGTACACCCTCCGCTCATCCGCCCTGCATGTCCGTGCGGGTGAGCGTACTCGTACTCTGACAGGATGGATCCTGTCTGGGTCCGAGCCAGGAAACAATCATCCGTACAGACCTGCACTTGAGGTGTGTGTAGGGGGGCGTACGGCATCATAGTACCATAGAGAAGGACGGGGACTACGTACTAATCACACACAGCACCTGTCCTTCCCGGTAGCTGCCTGATACGGCCGTGCACGCAGCACAGAGCTGTACGTGCCGGCCGTTTCTAGTGTGAATGAGGCCTAAGAGTTCTGACACACACAACAGATTCAGGTAGCTTTTATTTGAGCCATTTTCACAATGGAGTGGTATGACTGCGATAAATTGAACAAGAATTACCCCCCAGTTCATAGATAATGAGATTGGAGGTAGTTAAGTCCAACTGTACGCTGGCATACAGAGACAGGGGAGCAAACAGCTTACTATGCAGTAGGGTTGCTTTAATGCCCAGCTAGCTGCGTCCTAGCAACCAGTGACATGGGAATGGATTGACAGTGGGCAGAGACTGATGATGGGGTAGCTGAGAAACTGGAATCTAGGAGACTAGTTCCTCATCACCTCCACATTCCTTGTGTTTGACAGTGGAAGGCAGTGGGTGTAGTTCATAGCCAGTAGACAGCCTGCTAGCACTTATGGAATCCTTCCACTGTCATCCATTGTCAATCGCAAAGGTAGGTGGACCTGATGGAGGACTCTATAATTCTCTATCAGGATCCACCCACCCAACAGCAAAACTCCTCAGCCTCTGCGCCTGCCTGTGTAGCAGGTGCAGTGGGCAGGCAGGGGCTTAGTAACAGTTAACCTAACGCTTAACCTGTGATTTTATCTCACTCAGCAATAGTAAGCTACAATGAGGATAGACATTTCATGTACCTGTTTCTAAGAGGCATATCCCATCCTCTTCTTGTCCAGCATCAGTGGTGGGTGGTTTTAACTGCAGCAAAGAATCTAATGGAGTGTGAGCCATGGCCTGTGCTGCAGTACTGTGAGCCCACGCCAATGTGATTATACATCCCAAGGGGGGTTGTCCATCACAGCCTGAATTCCCAGGGAATCAGGAAGCTGGGCGGTGCGTCATGATGCACGGCCCGGCTTACTGATAATCGGGGCACACTGCACCGGTATTGGTACTTGGTATCAGCGAGTAGCAAAAAAAAAAAATATCGGAAAATCGGTATCGGTGCATCCCTACTCTTAGTGATTGGCCGGGGAAAACTCCCCATCAAGAAGCAGAAGTAAACAATACCATGGTGCAGAGGAGTTGGAGAGAAGTAACCTTCTCCCGCACTATCCAAAACTAATAAAAAACGTTTTAAAGCTTGGGAGTTACATTATGATCAAGTGTTCATAGGTGACTAACTTTTTTGGGGGTTTGAGGCATTTCTTTTTTCAGTGCAATGAATTTTTCTGGACGAGAGGGATGCAATAAATGATAATTATGCTGAAAATGTTTGGAGCTAAACTCCCGCACAAAGCAACCATGCCAATTATAACAAGCTAAAAACTCATATAAAGCCCTTTGCAAGCATATTCAGCTGTGCCTATCCTTGACCCAGAGAGGATCTACTCCAACCTGGTTCCAGGGGGATGAACCTAGGAGCTTACAGTTACTTAGTATGAGCATTGAGAACTAACGTCTAAGCCGCCAGCCTATGAGGAGTTGCCGTGTCTGTTTCCCTAGTGGAACCTCCCTAACAGGAACCCGTAACTCAGTTGTTACTAACTCCGTGATAATTACATTCTTAGCTGGAGAAATAAACATGATTTCATACCAAATAAAACAATAAGACAAAATATTCCACACTATGCATATTCATGCAGCAGCTTCTTCTGTTGTCCTAATTTCCCGCGACTAATTTCATCGATCGCCCGCACTTTTGCCAATATGCATGCAGATCACGACGGCGATAATAACGCTCAGAGTAATTATAATTTATACAGAACGCTGTTATTACCCGCGAATGAACATCAATGGCAAAAAAAAATAATATATATCAAATGAAAGACAATGGCAGTGGCTGTATTTTTGGAACTCACAGGTTTAAAAAAAGAGGGAAAAAAAAGATAATAACTTTTTCAGACTAAAATAATTGCCTAGTGCACTCATCCACAAAAACTATATGTTCGAGAGATTAAGAGTAATTTCGCCAAATATTTAGATACAATCGTAATGCTTGACGCTACGGCCGTGTAGTCCCATTATGCATCCCAAGGGGGGTTGTCCATCACAGCCTGGGCTCACAGGAAGCAAGTTGACTGATGCTGGCCATCATTGAATCCAGAAGAGCAGCTCCAACCATGAGAGGAGTTGACTATAAGCAGAGGATAGCACCACACTGATATCATATTTTAGCAAAAGCAATTTTTTAAAATGTTAATATATACAAGTGTAGCCAAGGCTGGCAGCTCTGTTAAGCCTCAGGAGTCACATGGACAACTCCACCACTGCATCTTGTCTCTCCTCCCTGCCCTAATAAGTCAGTGTGACAGGGAGAGGAGCATTCATATTGACCACAACTATAGCCTGGACTTAACTCCACCCACTGACTTATAGGGCAGACGGGATGTAAAATAAGTGCTGTGGAGAAGCAAGACTGTGGAGAGGAACAGGCTGCATAGTTGGCTTTTCTATTTTCTGCAAAGCAAGAGAAAGATTAAGCCATATTTAGCCTTGGGAGACCCACTAGGCACGAGAGAGAATCCCTCCATCCAACCAACAGGAGTGACCATCAATGGATGGACAGTTGACCCAAGGACACTTACACAACATCAGTGGTGAGAGGCCTCTTGGCTTATTTTTATTAAAACTTGCTAGCTTTCTTTGGAACTGTGCTGTCACCAGTAGTGCTCTGTCCAGGACACCTTGGGAGTATTACCTCCGTAGCTTGTGGTTCCAAGTCACCCTTGCCTGAGTGTGAGCACACCAAAGCGAGTTTAGAGGCCCAACCCCTGGCAGACTTGTTTATTATTTCAACGGCCAGTAGATAAATGGGTACTTTACAGCAGCGGTTCTCTACCTCAGGACCAACTTGTGTCCTTCGTCATTAAGTCGTGACCCAAGTCACAGTGCAATGGAGCGTACGGCATTGCGGCACCACACGTTCCGGTGCGGGCAATCGAACTGTGGGTGGGAGGTGCATTTGGGTTGCCATTAAAATGAATGGTAATGCAACACGCCTCCCACACCAGAATGTGCGGTAGGTGTGATTGCGTGGTACAATGCATTAATTGCTTGGGACTGTGCGATTAACGCACTGTACTACTGTGAACAGGCCCTCAAAAACATTGACAGACACGCACAACCACAGACACAATCTCACACACTCACAGACATTCTCACAATCACACTCCCCCCAATTTTTTTTCTTTTTTGACGATACACCCAGTGTCCCTATCTTATGAGAACTGGAGTGGATCCTCAGCCTGGGGTCCACTGTGGGCTGCTGTGCTGTGATGCAGCTCCATCCATATGTACATTGCTTGTACAGCTCCCTTGCGTGCCCTGTAGGGAGCCAG